CACCCAGAACAAACTCATTTAAAATGGCTCTCTTCAATGTGAGATCACTTTCAAGTAAGACTTTTATCTTAAATGATTTTATCTTGTCTGCAAATCTAGATTTTATGTTTTTAACTGAATCCTGGTTGCAGATGAATGACTATAGCCAGCTAGCTGAACTGTGTCCGCCTCAATATGATTGCTTTAGTCAACCGAGGGTCAGTGGTCGTGGTGGTGGGCTAGTGAGCGTGTATAGGAAAAATATTAAATGTCATCAAGTACGCTGTGATGAATTTAACTCCTTTGAAGTTCTCACTCTTAAAGTTGGAGGGCAGCAACCTATCATATTTGTTATAATTTATCGCCCCCAAAACCGCCTGGAGGATTTTTATCAGAACTTCCTGAATTTTTATCTACTCTGGTTTTAAATTATGACAGAATTGTTCTTTGTGTCGTCACTAAATATTACTGCTCCTCTAAAGGTTAGGCCTACGTCTAAAGCCAGTAAGCAACCCTGGATAAATGACAGCATTCGCAGCCTAAAAAGGGAATGCAGGAAAGCAGAGCGCAGATGGAAAAAATCCAGTCTCCAAGTCCATTACCTCAGTCTGAAGGATTTATTAATTAACTAAAATAACATAACTGGAAGTAATGATGACTGTGAATTGTTTTTATCTTATTTTACCAATAAGGTGGTGTCAATCAGAGCCTCTATTACCCCCGTGGCCTCTTACTCAGAGGTTCCTCACCAGCAACAAGAGAGTTTTAACCAGTTTTATCCCATCAACTTGTCTGAGCTTTTAAAAACAGTATCACAAATGAGAGTGTCCTCCGGCCCACTTGATGTAATACCTACAAAGTTTTTACTGAAAGTAATAGATTCTGTTGGGCCCCATTTGATCTCTGTTTTCAACAGCTCCCTATCTACTGGTTGTGTCCCTGATTATTTTAAAACGGCTTGCGTGAACCCACTTTTAAAGAAACCTGGTTTAGATCCCTCCCTCCCACATAATTTTAGACCAATTTCAAAACTGCCTTTTATTGCAAAGATTCTAGAAAGAATTGTGTCCAAACAGCTGCTCACTGTACTGGAAAATAACAAATTATTTGAAAAGTTTCAGTCTGGTTTTAGGAAGTACCACAGCACTGAGACTGCCCTGCTTAAAGTCACCAATGACCTTTTAATGTCTCCTGATGAAGGCATGTGCTCAGTCCTGGTACTCCTGGACCTTAGCGCTGCTTTTGACACCATTGATCACAACATCATGTTAGACAGACTGAGGCACTGGGTGGGGATCTCTGGTACTGCCCTAGAATGGTTTTCATTCTACCTGTCAAATAGGAAGTTTTGTGTGTCTGTAAACAACTATATCTCTTCGTTTGTCCAGTTAAATATGGTGTGCCTCAGGGGTCGGTCTTAGGACCCATTTTGTTTTCCTTGTATCTGCTTCCCCTTGGACATATTATCCATAAACATGGCATTTCTTTTCATATTTATGCTGATGACACACAAATATACTTGCCCGTAAGATCCACAGACCCTGGAATGCTGAGTTCACTTAACAACTGCCTTTGTGAAGTTAGAAAATGGATGTCAAATAATTTTCTCCAACTGAACTCAGACAAAACAGAAATCCTGGTCATCGGGTCCCAGCAGATGGCAAAACAAATACTGCCATCTGCTGGTTCCCTAATAAATCACATTAAGCCTGTGGCAAAGAACCTTGGTGTTTGGTTTGATAGTAATTTAAATTTCGAGCAGCACACCACAAAGCTTGTTCAATCATGTTTTTATCAAGTTAGAAATATAGCAAAAATTCGATCTATGTTAACTTTTAAGGACACCGAGACCGTTTTACACGCCTTCATCTCATCACGCCTGGATTATTACAACAGCCTTTTCACCTGTTTAACCCAAAAATCTATTGATCGTCTCCAGACTGTCCAGAACTCAGCTGCCAGGCTTTTAACCAGAACAAAGAAATATGACCACATTACTCCTATTTTAGCTTCATTACACTGGCTCCCAGTATGTTTTAGAATTGACTTTAAAATTCTATTGAATATTTTAGTCTTTTCAATATTTTCATGCTTTTATCTTGTATTGTTTTTGTATTATTGTCTCTTGGGTATTATTGTCTTTACACTTGTTAAAGCACTTTGTAACTTGTTTTTGAAAAGTGATCTACAACTAAAGACTACTACTACATTAGCCATACTGAAATTAATCCCCAGTTAACAGTAATGTTATTGATCGTATTTAGGTACATAGTTAATTCACTCCGTAACAATCTCTACAGTTATAGTTCAACAGTTTATGCTGTCTTTCCATCACTTCTCAAATAGAATACACTACTGTAAGTGTAGTCAACTAATCATCAGTGATCATTATGCGTTAATATTTACCTATAGTTGCTGCACATATTACATACTGTAATACTAGAAAAATTGCTGCTGTAAATGTTTACTACGTTTCGTGAACGGCCCCTTTTCCCTCCAAAGTTAAACAAAAAAAGTTATTAAATTTGTGTCTCCCCAGAAAAATGTTGTTATATGTATGTAATGTAAGTGATAACTGTAATCAATGACCTATTGCGTTAATATTTACCGATTATTGGTGCAAATATAGCTGCTGCTGGTGTCCGTCCCGCCTAAACCCATTCATACATGAACCACGTGACCGCGTGGCGGCGAGATCAAAGCGTATCGCGGCCCTGGGTACTACTGGATGAGAGGAGGAGGTGGATAAACTAAACTTATTTTAAACACTTTTGATCAGACAGAAATATCACCACAAATCCACACAAATGTTTACTTCAGCACCTCAGATAAAGTGCAGCTCACAGTCCCAAACAGAGCAGGTCTGCGCCTCAGATTTTAGATGTTATTTTGCAAAACTCTTTCAGTTATTTATCGCGACACATCAGCTGTGTATGGCAAGCCATTAGTGCCAAAAAACGTCACTCTCGTAAAAAATGGCGTTTTGTAAAATGATAATGAGCTCCGTCCTGTGGATTTTACAGCCACTAAATTTGAACTGTTGTCACCCAATCAGTACAGAAGAAGAACAGACCACACTAATTCAGCACTGATCTACTTTACTGTGATCGTAGCCACCCAAAGTCAGAAAGTAACCACAGACAAGCATGAAAAACTCAACACAAAAGTCCCAGACTGATCAAGTAAATTGACTACATTTACTAAAAATATTTAGCTACTCTAGGTTATAGCTTGTAACATTATTAGTAACAGTATTGATTGATGATTTTAGATCAAATTTGACATAAATAATAAATTTGCATTTTATTTATCATCACTGTCAGATTGAAGTATCTCCTAAAATAGAACATACAAATACAAAGAAAGTAAGAAATCACCATAAGTGGAACAACTATCTTTACATGGTCATCAGTGAACAGTTTAAGCCTCATTTGTCTTTTTATGAGCCCTTCAGTCATTGTAGTATTGATAGCGAGCCTACCCTTGTTTCTACAAAGCTTTGTTTTACCATGTCATCCTAAATCCTGGCCAAAGGCAACCTGACACAAACGTGTGTTTCAGTCGATTCAGGGAAAACACAGCTTGTCATTTATTCCCTGGCTGGAAACTTTTTATTTATTTATCCAAAGCTATCCTTCTGGACTTCTGCGATAATATTTATGTTACCCCAAAACACTACACTATACAAGTTGCTACAAAAACTTATCTTATTCCATATTTATATATTTCCACATTTATTTATGTTGACTGTATGTTTGTCTACATGTAGCACCTTATCAGCACAGCAAATTCCTCGTATGTGTAAAACACTATTTGACAATAAAGTTCCTTCTGATTCTGAAAAGGCATCTGCAGGCTATTAAGATACTTGGTTTTAAAAAAACGCTGCATTGCTTTCCTCTGAAATGGACATATTTGAGGAAGTCTTTGTGAACGCATACCTTCTGATGATACCTAAGCTAAATAATAAGATGCCTGTTTTGAAATCATGTTAATCATCAATAAGCTATCTTTACATTGTGAATAATGTTGGCTGATAATGACAAAATGAAATCGGTTTAATCAGTAAAGGTTGAAATTTATTTTACTGTGTAAAACACACAACATTCAAAATTATTATTATGAACAACCAGGATAAAGAATCTGTCAGACTATTTGTGAGAGACAATTGATTGGAGTCTTTACTACTACTAGATATTTGACTTAATACTTTGAACAATTAGGAATTATATTAAAACCATTAAAACCAGTAAAGGTATTTAAAAAATAATGCAAAAATATAATTACTAATTTTAATGAACAACTGTAACCAATATAGCCTAAGTACATCAGTGTGTGTGCGTCTGCGTGAGGCTCCAGCTGGTGACGGGCATCACTCGTGGTCCAGTCCATCGTAGGGTGAGTGGAAGTTCTTGGGAAAAACCTTCAGTTCTTGGGTCTGTTTGAACTTCAGCTCTTTAACTGGCTGCCTGGATGCGCACAGTGGGGCTGCTGTGGTGATACTCTTCTTTTAAGAGATGGGGGACAGATAGGCTTCCCAGTCATCTGAGCGGTGCCATCCACGTTGTATCTAGTGGATGGAAGAATTTAAAAGGGAAAATAGGGACAGAATTTTAGCAGATTACAAAGTACGTCTTTCACAGTGGTGGAAAAAGTAGTCAGACCTTTAACTTAGGTAAATGTTCCAACACCACACTGTAGAGATATTCTGTATGTCAAAAGTCCTACATTCAAATTTTAAGATAAAAAGTAAAGCTAATTCTAACTACTTTATATTTTGCTGTGTGGCTTTATCTGTGAAAATACATCATACTCTAGTTTTTGAATATGTTTTTAATTTATAATCTGCAGAGTAACTAGTCACTAAAGCCATCAAAATAAATGTAGTGGAGTAGTACCTCAAAAAGAAGAGTAATTGGGCGCATGTACTTGGGTACTTTTCACAACTGATTTCTATTGACATAGAAGGCAATATGTGTGCAAGAATGTATATGTCTGATAAAATACCTGATTAATTGGAGGTCATGCAATGTTGGATCCCCAGCTTTTTCCCAGTTCCCCATCTGGCTGAAGTCCTTGAAGATACGTACCTCACACAGTATGGCCTGGAATTGGAGTGAGCGCCAACAAGGTCTTCTTATCTGCATCTTCTTTGTCCTTCTGCTTCGCAGCCTTTGTGTCCCATGAAGCTGCTTCGATGTTTCCAGGCTTGAATGAACAGTAGGCATCGCACTGGTCTTTCTTTAAGTGAAAGGGAGATATATTTAAGTCACTGAAAATGTTTGAAAAAACTTACATTGACAGAGGCTGTTTTCAAGAGGGCTTATACTCAGTGTGCAGGTGACTGATGGACTTGAATACAAGCTACAGGTACACCTTTCGATGAAGAGGACCTACAGAAGTGCCATTGAACTTTCCAAAGGTCCAGAAGGAAGATCTTATGGAAGGACTGCAGAAAGCACTGTGGACTCACAGCAAGAAGATCTCATTTTCGAACCCGTCATCCCAGGCCTTTCTGTGTGGAGAATGCATGTTCTCCCTGTGTCTGTGTGGGTTTCCTCCTTCCTGTGTGGGCACTCCAGTTTTCCACACCATCAAAAACATCTTAGATTAGGTTCTTGAGGCAGTGAGTGTTAAATGCAGAGAATGAATTTCACGTGTATGTGACAATAAAGTACCTTTTCCTTCCGTTCCTGTCCTCAGTCTTCTCATGACTTTATCCTCTTCTTCCTGTCCACTTAAAAAAAACACCACTGCTTTATGCCTAATGTTGACAGGAACAAGCGGCATGAATTTCATGAAAGTCTTTGAATTTCCACTTTGTACGCATTGTGCTTTATAAATAAACTTGCCTTGCCACTATTCCCTTTACAAATTTGTTAGACAATGCCATTGTTTGGAAATATTGAAGGTAGACAGATAAATTGTAGCTTATACAGTCATAGTGAGAAGTTTGCTCTATGAGGCAGGTTGCAGGTTCACGCTGTGTTGTAGCTACATTTTAAGTAAATAACGTCTGTGTTTCCCCCTACTTTTATTAACAAATTAGAACTAATTCAGCACAATCCAAACATAATGCAAGACCTCCACTAGGTGGCACTCACACACTACCAATAAATTAGACGTTTTAAGGATTTGGCTACAGTACACATGCATTCTTGTATATTTTAATTTCTAGAGAAATTACTTCCTTCAGGAAATTCTTGGTTAGGATGCAGCAGCACAGACGATCAGACCACTGGAGGCAGGTGTGTTCCTACATGATGCACCTTGAAACCTGGTGTGGTACAACTTTCGAAGAGCATATCTGATTATCTTTTCAGTAATCTTCATGACATTGAGACTTCCTGTCCCATGGAAAGACGCAGCCCTACCACAGCTGGGTCTCCATCCACTTTCATAATTTTAAGCACATATTTGAAAATTTGGCTAAAAGAAATGTGAGTCTGTGCTCATTTCCATCTGCTGTGTTACAAAAATAAAGAAGGGCACTTTCCTAATCAAGGATGGAGTTGTGAACTGCTGCAGGTTCAAAACTTGCCACCTAAAATCGTAAGTAATCTACAGGTGCATCTCATAAAATTATAATATAGTGGAAATTTTTTTCAAAAGGTGAAATTTATTCTACATTCATTACACATGAAATTAAATCTTCAGGCTTGAAATGATAAACTTGATGAAAAAGGTCAACGACGATTCACCATGGCAATGGGTAAATAAAGGCATAGCCTCTATTTTAATCGGGTGGAGCTAGAAAAATGAATGCGCGCCAACGCGGACCATGATTGGCTATAAAACGCATGATTGATACGTTAACAATATTACATTTTATACAGTGTTGCTGATTCATCATTTAGCAGACTGGAATTTCCTTAATGAATAATAAAGTGCTCGAATTCTCCTCCAGCCTGTTATTCATTTTAAACAGCTACAGGCTTTTGTGGTGGCAGCCCGGCTGACGGTGAGTGTCCTGGTTTTTTCTCCTTTCTATCAGTTATTCTGCTTTTTTCCTTGGTTTTCTGTTCTCTGCCTGCCTCCCTGTGTTTTCTCCCCTGTGTGCTTTCTCTCTCCCTCTCTCTCTCTCTCCCTCTGCTCCTGAGCCCAGCCAACTACCTGCACCTGCATCTCATCAGCCACCTCGTCAGCCTGCCACACCTGCCAGTAATCACCTCATCCCTGCCTGTATTTCAACCCCGGTTCTCCACACCATCCTCGCTTGATCGCCGTTGCTCCATACCCGGTGCCACCTCTGTGTTCAGACTTTTCATGTTTCTTGTTTTATTCTCACTTTTACCCTGTGCTTTGTCTCTGTTATCTCTAACCCTGTCTCTCTGTCTGTTTCCCTCCCAGGTTCACTCACCCTCGTCCTCCGTTCAGTTGGCTGGGCTCATTCACCGGCCCTCTCCTCCTTGGACTTCCCCCACGGCGTCCTCCTGTTCCCCCACTGCTCCTCGCTACCTCGGCCCCAGTGTTCCCCAGCTCCTGGCCCCCAGGCTCCTTGGTTCCCCCTGCCTGTGTTTCCCCGACGTCCTCCTCTCCCTCCACTCCAGTCCCTCTCACCCTTTATCCCTCAATAAACCTCCTTCCCTCAGAGTGCTGCTTTTGGGTCCTCTCTGTCCCCACACCACACAACCTCATAACACAGGCCTGTTTATTCAGCTTGAACCTGACGGGACAAATGCGGTGGCAATAACTGAAGATAAAATATAATCGAACTGATTAGACACATTTTAGGCTCTTCATGGACCTGTGATTGTAAAGCCACAGTCCAACTCAGTAGGCCTATACCTATTAATGATTTTTTGCAATTTGTGTCTAAGTTCAAACTGAGTGTGAAGTTTTAGACATTAATAAAATCTTGCTCATTTTGTATTTTGTCAGAGAGTTGAACATGACGCTCAAGATCATGTTTGGGTAAAAAAAAAACCTAACAGCCTATTTAACTGTAATTTCGATGTTTCTAAAGAGGTAACTGTGTTCCAATATGTGCTTTGATATCGACAGTATGAATGAGGAAATGTCACTTTTGTCACACCGCTTCCAGCTCCGCAGGAGAGGAGTCGGAGAGAAACGTCTCGGGTTACGTATGTCTCGGGTTACGTAACCCTGGTTCCCCGAGAAGGGGAACGAGACACTGCGTCGGTAACGACACTATGGGAACGCCTCTAGGCGAAGCAGGTCTGAACGTGAATGAAATCACTCCAATCCTATTGGCTTGTTGCTAGAATGGTAAGGTGTGACGGAATAACCGGAGGAGTATAAAGCACACCTGTACACACTCATCATTAGCTTAAACTATGAAGCAGGCGCTTCAGGCGGGGAGAGAGGTGTGCGGGCCGACGCAGTGTCTTGTTCCCCTTCTAGGGGAACCAGGTTACATACATAACCCGAGACGTTCCCCTTCGAGGGAACTCAAACTGCGTCGGTTACGACACTATGGGAACGAGATACCCACTAAACCGTGCCGAAAACCCCGCCCGCCCGTGTGCAATAAAGTGGCACGACTAAGAGGAGAGCGCACGAGTGCCAGGTGCCGAAGGAAGGTCAAGACTGTAAAACCGAATGAATGTGTGCGGAGTGGCCCAGCCAGCCGCTAAACAAACATCCTGCAAAGAGGCCCCGGAAAGGAGGGCTCGAGAGGCCGCCATGCCTCTGGTAGAATGAGCCCTCACAGCCACAGGTGAAGGCAAACCGCGCACCTGATAGGCCAGGGAAATAGTCTGAACAATCCAGTTGCTAATAGTATGTTTGGATGCAGGGAGCCCAGCCCTGGGAGACCCAAAACACACTAGCAGCTGGTCAGCCTTCCTCCAACGGGAGGACCTCAGAGTGTAAATACTCAGTGCTCTGACAGGGCAGAGCAGATGAAGTCTCCCGTCCTCCGCCGTCACATGAGGTGGAGGATGAAATGCCTGCAGCACTGTGGACCCTGCCGCACAAGAAGGCACTTTAGGGGATGTATCCTGGACGAGGGTGCAGGATAGCCCTACTATTCCCCGGGGGAAACTCCAGGCTTTGCGGGGAAACCGAAAGCGCTTGGAGATCCCCCACCCTCCTCAGAGAGGTGATAGCAAGGAGAAAGGCCATCTTGAGGGTCAAGTGCTTAGCCTCAGCTGACTCCAGGGGTTCGAAGGGGGCCTCAGCCAACGCCCCAAGAACCACTGCCAGATCCCAAGTGGGAACCTTGGACCGAGTCGCAGGTCTCATCCTCCGGGCACCACGGAGGAAACGTACAACCAAGGGAAGTTTCCCCAAGGACCCCTCCTTCAGAGGGGTGTGGAAAGACACAAAATAGCTGCCACGTACACCTTGAGGGTGGAAGGGGAAAGACCAGCAGAGAACCGGTCCTGGAGGAACTCAAGTACCTGAACCACTGGGCAGGTAACAGGGTCCACCGACCGCTCCCTACACCAAGTGGAGAAAATGCTCCACTTCAGGCCGTACATCTTCCGTGTGGACGGGGCCCTGGAGCTCAGGAGGGTCTCGACTGCTCCGGCTGTTAGACCCGCCTCCAGGTACTGTGCCCCCTCAGGGGCCAGACCCACAGTCGCCATATGGCGGGGCAAGGGTGAAGAACCCGGCCCTGCACCTGGGACAGCAGGTCTCTCCTCAGAGGGACCCGCCACAGTGGGCCGTCCAGGAGTGACATGATGTCCGAGAACCACACCCGGGTTGGCCAGAACGGGGCTACGAGCAGTAGGCCGACAGTGTCTTGGCAGACCCGCTCCAGAACCCCTGGGAGCAGAGCGACTGGGGGAAAAGCGTACAGACGTAGCCTCGGCCACGAATGTACCATGGCGTCCAGACCCAACGGGGCTGGAGGAACGAGAGAAAACCATAGCGGGCAGTGCGTAGTCTCTTGAGACGCAAACAGATCCACGTCTATGGGGGCCGAACTCTTCGCACAAGAGCTCCACCACTTCAGGGTGAAGTCTCCATTCCCCGGGCCTCAGCCCCTGCCTCGACAGCAGGTCTGTTCCCTGATTTGGCGTCCCCCGGGAGATACATCGCCCTGAACAATAGTAACCTCTGCTGGGACCACAGGAGGATCTGACGCGCCAGTCTGTACAGAGGGCGTGAGCGCAGACCGCCCTGGTGATTCAGATAGGCCACCGCTGCTGTGTTGTCGGAACAGGATGTGGTGGCCTTGGAGATCGGGCAGGAAACTCCTTAGAGCCTGGAACACCGCCAACATCTCGAGACAGTTGATATGCCACTCGGATTGATGCACCTGCCAGGATCCCCTTGCAAAGCGGCCGTCCATGACCGCGCCCCAGCCCGTGAGGGAGGCGTCTGTCGAAATGACCAGCCGGCGACAAGACCCTCCCAGCACGGGCCCCTGGGACAGGAACCAAGTTTCCTTCCAAACTGATAGGGAACGAAGACACTTGCGCGTAACCCAAATCAGACGGAGAGGATTTCCCCTCGAGGAAAAACCCTTGGTCCTTAGCCACCACTGCAGGGGTCTCATGTGCAGCAGTCCAGATGGTATTACGCTGGACGCAGCCGCCAGGAGACCCAACACTCGTTGAAAGTGTTTTATAGTGATGGCGTGGCCTAACTTCACCCCTTTCACGGCAGCCAATATGGTGTCGACACGTGCCGGAGACAATTGTGCCCGCATAGTTGTTGAATCCCATACTACCCCTAGGAACGTAGTCCGTTGGGTGGGCGCCAGCACGCTCTTCTTTGCGTTGAGCCTTAGCCCTAAACGCCGCAGATGAGCCAGAACGACATCTCGATGCCGAGCCGCCAACTCTCGAGACTGGGCTAGGATGAGCCAGTCGTCAATGTAGTTGAAATCCGGATGCCCTGGAGCCTCAGCGGGGCCAGTGCTGCATCCATACACTTGGTGAATGTGCGAGGGGAAGTGCCAGGCCGAATGGAAGAACCCGAGACTGGTAAGCCACACCCCCAAAGGCAAACCTCAGGAACTTCCTCTGAGAAGGATGGATGGAGACGTGGAAATAGGCGTCCTTTAGATCTATCGTGACGAACCAATCCTCGGATTGGGTGTGCGTCACGATGGCGGGGATGATGAGCATCTTGAACCTGAATCTCCTCAGAGACCGGTTAGAACCCGCAGATCCAAAAATAGGGCGCAGCCCTCCGTCCTTCTTGGAGACTATGAAGTACCGGCTGTAGAACCGGCGTCTCTGTCTGGGGGGGAGACACGTTCCACGGCCCCTTTCCTCAGCAGAGTACGAACTTCCTGTCCCAACACCGGACCTTGCTCCGGGCGGACCACAGTCCAAACCACCCCTTTGAATTTTGGAGGGCGGGTTTTGAACTGTAGTCGAAACCCATGTATGGCAGTGCGCAGGACCCATGGAGAAATGTTCGTCAGACTCCGCCAAGCCTCTGCAAAGTCTGCCAACGGAACCAACCCCCCGGGGCTGGTGGTCGGTGTCTCGTGTGATCTTCTGGTGGACCCCTGAAGCCCCATAACGGCAGGGGAGAGCCGCCGAAGATCCACGGTGAGTGAGTCTGAACGCCGCCTGACTGCAGACCCTTGTGGCAGGCAGTAAGGCGTGGACTCGATGGTGGCAGGTGCGTCCTGAACGTGTAAACGGCGGGATAACATCACCCGTTGCCACGGCGGATGGCACCTCGATCGGCCTCCGGGGGGGTTGGGGGAGGGGGAGAAAGACTCCCCTACCCCGGTCTTCCCTGAGCTCCGTCTGGACTGGATGACGGTCCTCAGATCGCGTCTCTCAGAAGGCTGAGGGTGAGAGCGCCGTCTCGCTGCCCCAGCTCCTCGGGGGGGCACCCGAGAAGCGACACTCCTTCCTTCTCCTCTCTGTAGGAGCTCGTAGAGGGAAGGGACCTACGCCTGGCAGCTTCAGCTGCCTGGGGTCCAGACCGGTGAGGGAGGTACTGGCGGAACGCTTCGCCCTGCGTCTAACGCTCCGTGGTTCTGCAAAGCTCCGCCAGATCTTCCTCAGAGGGAACCCTAACCCCCATCACATTACTGTAGTTCAGTGATCGGGGTGTGGAAAGCCATGTAGAGAAGGGTCTGCCCCATGATTACTCAGTTCATCATGTAAATCAGGAAAGAATGGCAGAGACCGGCGTGGAGGTGGCGCGTGGTGCTTAAGAAATCTTTCATCAAGCTTACCACTAGCCTGTGGTGTCTGCTCCTCCTGTGGCCAGTTGATGTTGAGCTTAGCCACGGCTCTAGTCACCACCTCCAGCAGCACGTCATAGTCGGGCGCCGCCAGATGACGCCGCCCCGACACCCGGAAGTCATCGTCCACTACGCTGAGCACGTCCACCTCCTCGGAGTCGGATTGCAAGGATGCTCGTCTCTGTGTATACATTTTCACTACTTTTCAATTGTTTATGGACACGTAACAGAGACACATGCACACCTCCTGGAACAAGGTTTTAAGGTAAAGGATGGTCACAGACGGAGGCAAAATAGTGGCCCAGGAGTCTGTTAATATTTTAAAGTGATTTAAAGTGAAAATACAGATTGTTAAATATCATTCGAGATGGCAATGTAGAACAATGGTATGTTATTGTTTGTTTAAAGCTTTAAAGCCTGTATGAAGGTCCATGGTAAATAGTGCACATTAGAAGTCTTAAATAAAAAGACGGCTTCTTAGTCCCATACAAAGACTTCTCATTTTCTGCCTTTGTGATTCTAGAGGTAAAAAATAAAACCTGTATGTAGGTCGAGAATTCTCTGAGTCTTTCGGGAGTGCAGAAAACAGTAGCGCCGTTTACCTATTTCTGCGCTACCTAGAGTTCAGTTTCGAAAATTCTGGGGTTTTTCGGGGGTACAGAAGGGAGAAGCGCAGTCTTGTTCCTTTTGTATCGCCTAGTATTAAGTGTGAAAAACCTGTATGAGGGTTCGGTACCTTCCGAGGTCACAAGAGTGAGCCTAGTATTGTGTGTGAAAATAGGTATCAATTGAATATAGGTCTGTACATACTGTGTATTAAACAAAGCAGTGTTTCAAATAACTGTTTTGTGGTGACTGAGCAATGTTTTGTTTTTTGTTTGTTTGTGTTTTGAAAAAACTTGAGATATTGGTTGATACAGATATTCAACTCTTATGACTCTCTCATGACTGCTTCTGGGGTGAATTAAGTTGAAAGCAATCAGTACCTTGAGTTCTATTTTTATTTTATTTTTGCATAGGGTAAAAAAAAAAAAAAAAAGGGACGCATGTTTTTGAAAGGTTGAGCCCTTGCTGCAGTGGCCTGCAGGGTCCCACTCCATGGCAGTTGTCGCATGTTTATTCTCTCTGTCTCTCTAGCTCTAAAACTGTCCTATCTTAAGAAATATTAAATATATACGTATGGAGGTATGCACTATGACTAGTTTCGTTACACTATAAATAACACATCTTAGAAAGACATTCCAGATGTTTTCCGTAAAGAGTTTTTTGTGAAGTAATAAGTGTTTATTTTAAACATTATGTTCCACTATAGAAGGAAAATATCTGGATGTGTGTGACATAATAAATACAGAAAACTCTGTGATAAACTCATTTCAGTGTCTAGCATACACAATTGTAAACAAAAATGAATGCACAATCTTGCAAGTGTCATAGGACTGAGAGAGTTTCTCCAGAGTTAGTGTGTGTTTGATAAAATCTGTCAGTATTACAAATATGGGAAGATCAGAGTGATTGTGTGAATGAAAAACCATTGCAAGTAAAAGCAAGTCTGTTCCTGTGAGTCAGTATAAAACATGGGGAGCAAATTGGGGAAACTTAATTCTTGCCTGACACTCTTTCAGGTCCAGATAAATTAATGGCAGAAAAATGGGGAAAAGGTGTGGTTCTTGATGTTGGCCTTTTTCCTATCCCGGGCACACTAAATACAGATTGTTTTAGGAAGGTGTAGAAAATATGTTGAAAAACCACAAGCTACCAGTCTTTTGCCATTAAAAAAAGACAACTCTTTCACACGTAACAATTAGGCCTAGGCTACTGACCCCCTGCTGACCAAATCCAGAAAGAAGCTGATACACATGTGAGGGGACTGTGCCCTGACCTGACGACTGGTTCCCCAGTTCACACAACAGTGACTGAAGTAAGACGATATGGAAAGAAGACTCAAACTAACTGTCCCAAGAAGCTTCTTTTTCATTTGCAGCCCTCAAATACTGGCTCAGGAGAAATGGTGAAGGGGGGACGCACACCTATTGCTGATGGTGACATCTCCAAATTCCCAGCCGCAACTGACGGGAGGGCAGGAACACGCCCACTGGGATTCAAAAGGGTTTTTGGACAGATCATGGGCAGCTGGATGAAATAACACAAGTTGCAGAAGAACCACCTAACGCTAAAAGGATTGATGGTGAGGGTTACATCAAAAGACAGCCAAGTGAAAAAAGGGGACATGGTGACAGAGAAAGAAGGAGATGGAAAACACACTTCAAACAGAACAATACAAGCAGAACAGGAAGTGTCGGCACCGGAACACCAATGACAAGACCTGTTCATCCTTCCTTCTCCACCCCGGATCAAGGACAAATGTGTAGAGAGAATGAGTGCACTGGAGATGGAGCCTTCAGGCTCAGGGAGGAAGCCACAATGCTGGGAAGTGAAAGACAGAGACTGAGGCAGAGACAAACAGAAGAGGAGAAGATATTCGCTGCCTGTCATCCAGACAGGCAGCGAAAGCAGTGAGACCATCACCAGACAGTTAAGATCATTCCAGGTGATACGGCCAACTTCAACTGCCGCCAGGGTAGCTGAGAGGGACACGTGGGTCCATGCATCACAGTGCAAAGTGTTTCCCCAGTGGGGATGCCCTCCAACAACACAGACAATGGCTGCAGTGCTCACCACCGTCCTGGTCAGCACAGCTAGGGTACTCCAACACCAGCTCAACAAGATGGCAGACATTTTTCTACAAGGAGCTCTCAACAAACAGACTCCACTAGTACTCATATAACCACAACACTGACACAGATTATTGATTCATTTGCACTCACCAGTAGAACTCAATTACACTGATTTTCTACACGGACTGTTGCAGACAAGAAAGGAAAATAACATTGGTCATAACCAGTGAAGATGCAAGAAGAGGATGCAGAGGGGAGACGTAACATTGGCATGTTACCAACGCAGGAGGAAGAGGACAGAAGAAGAGGGATTCAGAATAACCACAAATAAACCATGAAACCAAGAGAACACCACCTTACACGTTGCACACCCACTCAAGCCTCCTCCTGATCTATAGAGGAGGTTAGAACTGATTTGGCCACGCTGTGAACATGAATTAGGATTATACACAGCAGATCCAGAAATGTTGACTCTGGTAGTAGAAAACTCAATGATTCTTTATTTATATTTAATTTTTTTGTTTGTTTTCTTTTTTCCTTCCACATTTACCTCATTTGTTTTGAATCACAGTTTCACCAGTAAGACAAAAATGGAATTCAAGGGAGGGAATAAATTTAGGCACCTAGAGTTTTGTGGGATAAAGGGAACAATATCAACTTTAGCCGTAATCATTTCTCTAGTTATAACAATAATCCTATAGTCTCATCTCCAGAAAATAGGTCAACCACAGACCCCATTCAGCCCATTAATACTGCACACATAATAAACTCTATCCCACCAAACAGTACAAATTTCACTAAAGATTTAGAAGATCCAGGAAGATTGCTCAACCCATGCAAGACGAAGAGTCAGATAGTGAGGTCAGAGAAGAGGAAGAGGATTTCTTTGCTTAAATCATGATTTGATTCTACAACTTCTGACATTTCAATGACATAATTGTAGATATGTTAAGTCTAATAGTGATTTCACACCAATAAATGGTGTGAAAGGAGGGATTGTTGAGTTTTAAAAAGTTACAACAAACCTAATGTACTTTTCCTTCAAATGTAAAACTGCAGGGTTTTAAGCCAGACAATTGCATTAGAATGTTAATTAAACCACTGTTTATCTCCTCTTTGTAATGCGAACGAAAACTGACACCTCTTTGTTTAGTGCCTGTATGACTAGTTGGTAGAGCAAGGACTGTGTATTCCTGTAGATCAAAAGGGGGTTCTACGTCTGGGGTCGACGCTTTTGTTCGACTAAAAGCAACGTAGAACAGTAAGGTACAAGGTAAGGTTCCTAATTGGGTGACAAAGAAGTAACCAAACGACCAACGGCTGTGGTCCTGAGCCATTTGGAGGAAAAAGACCCGCCCACATACCTGGAGGATATTAATGATTCATTTTGTGAGAATCAGGGCTGTAAGCTGTAAATCTGATAAGAGGAACAACTTTCCACTGCAGTGTTTTTGTTTCATGTTTGTTCTGTAATGCCATCTTTTATTCACCTATTTTTTAATTAAATTTTCTTGTTAATTTTCATCGGATCCAACCTCTCCTTTCTCAAAATCTGAAAAAACAGTTTACAGTAAAAGGAAACTGAAGTACAAACAACAATAGATTTCACATTGCCTACTGTATGCAGCTGGAGCTGAAACATGAAAAAATAATGCAGTTTTTGTAATGTCAAGTTGACATTACAAGCGGACTCGTTAAGATAAGACTGGTTATTTCCTGTGGTGGACAGTAACTTAAGTAGGCCTACTGTACTGCAGTCCAAATTAGAGGTAGCCTATTTGTACTTGAGAATTTTCTTTTCATGCCACTTTCTATGTTTATGTACACTGTTTATGTTTTTGTATATTAATAGCCTATATTAATATTGCCACAATTTAACAAAGCACTGGTATGCAGTTAGTTTTAAATTGTATTGGGACGTGTGGCACAGCCCCACCTAAATATTTTTGTAAAGAAATTCTCAAAATCTGAACGTCTGACACAACCTGACTGCAGCCACAACAGCTTCGCCTTCTTGGAAATCACGTGACCCCCCCGCCCTCCCCCATTGGGCGGATCCGCTCTAACTACAGCTAGATGTAAGGACTTTGGCCCCAGAGCAGGAAGAAGAAGTCAGTTTGGTTTCAGCTTCGACACCTGCTGCAGTTCTGCCATCATGGTCGCTTTAACATCAGTGTCATTCGTGGTTTTGTTTGCATGTTCATGGATCTTTGTTCTGTGTCAAGGTAAGAGGAGTGTGTGTGTTTCACAGAGATACAGCAGCTTGAAACCCAGATATCACAAAACAACAGATGAGACATTAGACCTCTCAACATAACAATCGTTGATGATGTGTAACGTTAGTAGGCTACAGAGGGATTTTAAGGAAAGCCGGTAGATGAACAGAGATATATGGATTTATCGAAGCTGGTAATGGCGCAGTGGATGAGACACATGCACTTTGTGTGAGAGACCGGGGTTCAGTTCCGCATTGTGTCACCCCTTGTTGCTCCAGAGGTGTGCGACCTCTGACATGTATAGCAATTCTAAGTCGCTTTGGATAAAAGCGTCTAAATGAATAAATGTAAGTCTTCTCTCAAATGATCGTTAGGAAAGAAATGTGTGAAACGTTGTGTAATTTTACTGCAGTTATTTAACTTACTGATTTAACAGTCTGAACAGTTAAAACAGCAATTACTCGTGATAACGAGAGAGAGAGAGAGAGAGTTCTCTTTCATTATATATATATATATATATATATATATAAAAAATTGAATATAACATTGCAATCCTTACAAAATTATATTATTGATTAAAATGTGTGTACTTTGAATATGTTAAAGTTTAAATTGACTTGTCTAGACTTGTGTCTCCATCACGAGGGACGGACTGGGTTTAAGAAATAGCCCTGGACTTTGATCCAGACCAGCCCACCAGAACAGTTCAACGTGTACTCCAGCCGCCCTGCTAATGCACGCACGTACAAACAGGACCAGCCTCTACTAAACCACCAAGCAGCTGCACAGCCATGGATCACTATGTCAGTACTACTTTAAAATGGCGGAAGACCACACACTGAAGTTGTCATGATTGAACTCACCTTGAGATAAAAAGTCCACAATCCTCACTGAAACTAAGAACTGTCTGCTCAGGGTCAGCTGGTTGGCTTTAAGTCCAGGGAGTACGCATAATAAAAAAACTAGTTAAACACCTCTCCAAACAAAGAACGTTACCTCAGGCCCCATCCACACTAGGACTACTATTTTAAAACAGATCTTTTTCTACGTTTGCACCTCCCGTTCAGACTAAAACGGTGAAAATGTAGAACCAAAAGAAGAAGTCTAGGAAATAATAAACTTCACATGTTTAATATTTCAGCTGTTTGTTCAGGCTCAGAAATGCTGATGTCTGTATTCAGATGGGAAATAATATCAATAATCAATAATCTCCAAACAAGCAGAAAGCAGATGAAAGTAAAATGTCTCCTGTCTGATGGTGCGGAGGACGACTTGACTGACAGCTGTAGAAATGAGCAACATGAAGTCAGCGTGCAGCTGCAGCAGAGGAGTTAGTCTCTCCTTTCTGCAGCTGGGACTCAAGTTGTCTGAGAACAGGGTTTGAAATGCTGCTGAGTTCACATGTGCTGTTTTATAGAGACCTGATCTCTGCTGCTTCCATCAAAAGATGTTTGAACAACAGGAAACATTACAAGTCCTGACTGGAGGCTTTTCTCTTTCTGTTCAGAGACACAGGAGGTGACAGTGAAGCCTGGAGAGAACGTCACTCTTCAGTGTCAGAGTCACAGAGATGCTGACATAGAAGTGATAAAGTGGATCAGAACTGACCTGAAGTCAGATGATGATTTTGTCTTCTACTTCACCCCTAATCAAACAAATGGAGAGCACCAGAATTCATTGTTTCAGGGTCGAGTGGAGCTTCAACATCCAGAGAAGAAGGACGGAGACGCTTCTGTGATTCTGGAGAACGTCACCATCAAGGACACTGGAACATATGAGTGTTGGATTGCAGTGAAAAACAACACAAAACGCAGAAAGAGAGACGCACCTGAACCCATCAGCACCATCGAGCTGACAGTGATAGGTGAGCGTGTATTTCATTTTAAAAGACCTTTTTCTACGTTTGCACCTCCCGTTCAGACTAAAACGGCGAAAATGTAGAACCAAAATGTAGAAGTTTGGAAAAGCTGCTGAACCCGTTTTGCGTTTCAAAACTCCGGGTAGCGTTTTTAGTGCAGACGGGCAACAACAGAGGACTTTAGAAACGATGACGCAGACGCTCACATTCGGCTCTCTGATTGGTTCGTATAAGTCATGGAAAGCAGAAACACAATTCTACTGATTTTTATTAAAATATTACGTACAGTGTAAATAACACTTATCTGCCTACATTTGATCTGTGCAGGTCGCCGTATTTACTTTGCAACGACTTCCAGCTGGTTTTCCACACTGTCACTGTGGTCTGTGAGTGAGATGGGCGGGGCTAAGGGCTGCGTAAACGTCCATGTGGAATAGACCAACAGGCCTGGGGAGAAGGGGGGTTGGCACGTGTCGCTCAACCTTCTGCCAACTTTGTCATTATTGGTAAAAGAGTAAAGGCAAAGGAAGGCGGCCCACTGGGAACTGTCACGGTGCTCCAGACGGCCAGACCGCCACTGATGTGAATATTCACAAGAACCTCTGTTCCTGTCCACCACTGTAGTTTACTGTGTGGACGGATGGACAGCAGAGACCAACATGTGTCCTCTCCCCTCTCGTGGTGTCTGTCCATGCAGATCCAGCAGCTTCATTTGTCTCTCTGAGAAGTAAAGCAGTTTCATACTGTAGGGACTCTTTCCTCAGTAGAAGTAGTTCAGACACAGTCTGAGTAGAGGACGGACAGACTGGGGACACATTTGGAAAACAAGGACAAAGATTCAAAGCTTCTAGGAAATAATAAACTTCACATGTTTAATATTTCAGCTGTTTGTTCAGGCTCAGAAATGCTGATGTCTGTATTCAGATGGGAAATAATATCAATAATCAATAATCTCCAAACAAGCAGAAAGCAGATGAAAGTAAAATGTCTCCTGTCTGATGGTGCGGAGGACGACTTGACTGACAGCTGTAGAAATGAGCAACATGAAGTCAGCGTGCAGCTGCAGCAGAGGAGTTAGTCTCTCCTTTCTGCAGCTGGGACTCAAGTTGTCTGAGAACAGGGTTTGAAATGCTGCTGAGTTCACATGTGCTGTTTTATAGAGACCTGATCTCTGCTGCTTCCATCAAAAGATGTTTGAACAACAGGAAACATTACAAGTCCTGACTGGAGGCTTTTCTCTTTCTGTTCAGGGACACAGGAGGTGAAGGTGAAGCCTGGCGAGGACGCCACTCTTCCCTGTCAGAGTCACAGAGATGCTGACATAGAAGTGATAAAGTGGATCAGACCTGACCTGAACACAGATGGTTTTGTCTTCTACCTCAGCCCTGATCAAATAAACGGAGAGTACCAGAATTCATTGTTTCAGGGTCGAGTGGAGCTTCAAGGTCCAGAGAAGAAGAACAGAGACGCTTCTGTGATTCTGAAGAACGTCAACAGCAACGACACTGGAACATATGAGTGTTTGATTGCAGTGAAAAACAACACAAGACGCAGAAAGAGAGAAGCACCTGAACCCATCAGCACCATCAAGCTGACAGTGACAGGTGAGTGTGAAGAGCTCAGAGTGTCTCTTTGTCTCTCAGGTGAGCGTGTAGAGCTCAGAGTGTCTCTTTGTCTCTCAGGTGAAGCTGCTTCCTGCTAGTTGAGCTGAGAAACATCACAGATCAGATGTTTGTGTTTTAGAAAGATGTTGCTGATGAGACTTTAGAGGAAACAGCTGCTACGAGTCATGTGATCAAAGTGCAGTAGATAATGTCTGACATTCTGTCCACCTGCTGACAGCTGATACCTCACACCTGTTTCTGCTTCTCACACAGATGGACACAAGAAGGGAAATGTTGGACTGATGGTCTGTCTGCCAGTTTTTGCGGTGCTTCTTGTTGCTGTTGTTGGAACGATGCTCTTTAAAAAACGCAGAGGAGAGACACCTCACACAGGAGGAGAGACACCTCACACAGGAGGAGAGACACCTCACACAGGAGGAGAGACAGACGCCCTAAACCCTCCAACATCAGGCTGACAGATCCAGGTGAGTGTGTCGAGCTCAGAGTGTCTCTTTGTCTCTCTGTACCACGAAGCAGGATTTGAGCTTATCCAGGTAACTTCGGGGTTTTCAGCACCATGACGATGGTTCACTTCTTACCGGGGTAGATCTCCATGGTAACTTATGCTGAACAGCTAACCTGCTCCGGAGCAGGTTATGTTCCAGATAAGAGATCAACTCTATAAATATTGTCTGCCTACTGACCAATCAGCTCTCTGGAAAATGACATCACCATCTGTAGGAAATCACACAGACTGATTTATTGGCTGCTTCATGTTTGCAGCGGTGAAACTTTTGTACAGCGAGATCATCCTACAGAGACTGAAGCACTAAAACCTTGTAGGTTTGTAAGATGTGACAGTGAGCTTACTCACCACTTTGAAATGCTTTTTATATATTTTACTTGATCCCAAGTCTGTTTCACACATCCTGTCACAGCCGTTAAAATAAATGGGTTTTCTTTTTTTGTGAGGCTGAATATTCTGAGGATATAAATTAAAAGGCCTATTAAATTAAGTTAAGATGAGTTTATTTAAACATTATGTTTTATTTGTTTCTTATGTTACAGAGACATTTTGTTATGTGGGAGAGATTTCAGTAAATGTTGAGTTTCAGTCTTTTGCCACTATTAATAATAATAATAATAATATTAGCCTCTTTAACGGCAACGCGCTCAGGGCTGGATTTGGAAACCCTGTGTTGAATTATCAGGTTAATAACCAGCATCATGTGACCATTTAGCCTGATCGTGGTTGTTAGTGTCAGTGAAGCCAGATAACAAAAGACATCCTGGGCATGTTGAACTTGCTTCGTAGTAAAGGCTCCTGGTAGTTGAGCTGAGAAACATCACAGATCAGATGTTTGTGTTTTAGAAAGATGTTGCTGATGAGACTTTAGAGGAAACAGCTGCTACGAGTCATGTGATCAAAGTGCAGTAGATAATGTCTGACATTCTGTTCACCTGCTGACAGCTGATACCTCACACCTGTTTCTGCATTTCACACAGCTGGACACAAGGAAGCAGCACGCAAGGAGGGAGGAGGCAAGGAGGGAAATGTTTCACAGACAGGTGGCGTGTTCGCTCTTGTTGGTGTTGGTTTTATAATCTTTGGAAAGGATGCACAGCATAATTCAAGAGAAATGTCTTGATCTTAGCTTATTCAAAATATAACCATTTGTATGCACGTGTTTCTGCTCAGCTTTCCTTGATGCAGCTTAAATACCATAAACATATATACATGTACTCAGGGATGGGTAGTATTTAAGATGCATGTATTTAAACTGGATAAAAACAGGCTGAGGGGCTGAGCAAATAACTGAGTTACAATTATTTTGAACAGAGAATAAACGGAGAAGTACGCTTAATCTACTCTCTCTAACTAGTCTGTACTCGGGTCCACTGCAATCTTTGGGTCCACTGAAACTCCAAAAACCCTCGGACACTACAGAGAAACCAGGACATGTCTGTCAGCAGGCCACTTTGATCCAGTTATACTCTGGACCCACCTGCACATTTACAGGTGAACAGAGGTTCCTGCAAATCACTCAGGCGCGAGATTTAAGACCACTTCCTTCACTCTGTTCAATCTCACTCTCATTATCTTTTCACTCAATTACCTACTCATTTCTCAAATAAATATTTTTATATAAAAGTAAATAATTAATTAAAAGCAATGATAAAAAGCTAAAAACAAAGAAAAAGAAAACAGGACGTTACAGTGAAAGTTACCAATCTATGGATTTAATTAAAGGCAGCGGTAAAAAAAAGTTCAGTCTTAATTTAAAAGAACTGACAGTTTCAGAGTATTTGTAATTTGATTTTAAAATACATTTTGATGTATTTTTGACCATCCCTGTATGTATTAATCAGAAATGTGAATAGTTCTTTATTTTGCATGTATTTAACTAAGCTGACTTTGTCTCAAAAGAAAGATGTTAAGACAGAGTCTTGAATTTGACTGTTTAAAACACAATATTAGGAAAATATAAAAATAAAAGTCCTTCTTTCAAAATGTGACGTGAAAGTACACTTTCACTTAAGCTAAGCGTAGGTACTTTACATAATGTTGGCAGTTAAATCTAAATGCTTCATGTAAAATATTAATCTGCAGAGTAACATGTTAACACTGAACATGTTTTTATTCAACAATGTATTTTTTTATTTCAATGTAAACGTCTGTTTTTCTTGCCAATAAAGCTTCTCTGAAGTAACCTACAGATTTCAGATTAATGGTCATTTTCCACCAGTTGTTCACCAGAAATGATCAGAGTTCCTCTCCAAAGCATTTTTCAAATCAAGCTCACAGTCCAGTCTGACTTCTCTCTTCATATCAATATAAAAACAGACTTCATGTCAGCGTCCTGCTTCTAGAGCAGATGAAACCGAGAGTGAATAAAACCTGAAAAACAGGATCATTAACTTCTTTAACTCTGGAGCTGAGAGAGGAAAGTCAGTTTGGCTCTAAATGTCTGTCTGGGCCTGTCCCTGTAATCAGAGAACAAAATGGTGGGACTTTCAGAGGGAGTAGTTTGTTATGAAGCAGCTCTGAGCTCATTGTAACTTCCCCATCCCCCACGTCTCAGTCTGAATCAGGATGTGGGTTCAGTTCTTCTTCTTCACTGCTGCTGGGTAGAAACTAACATGAGAACAGACTGCTGCTCTTTTATTCATTTATATCTGAAGTTTTATATCAAACACCAAGTTGAGAGTTTAGATCTTCTGTTTCTGTCAGACTGAGCTGAACTCAACACTTCACTTACTGAAACATGATCTCATCTGCTGTGTAAACAGAATCACGCTGAATAGCTGTGACTGTTTTTGTTTCTGTGGTCGTGAAAATGATTCACATGACAAAAGTCCCGAGCTGTATTTCCCAGCAGCAACACCTCAGACTCAAATGTTCTGTATGATGAATGTTTGACTGCTGTATATTCTCACTTCTGAATGTTTCCTGTTGGTCCTCTGACTGCAGCTTTTAACATGGAGGCTTTTGTTCCTGAGTAAAACCTTCCTGTTCCTTCAGTCACAGATTGTCTCCTGAGCAGTGTCTCCACTCGACTGTCATTTAGGATCTTGTGTCTCTCAGAGGAGCCATCTTTGATCATGTTTCCTCCTCCTGATCAACAACTGCTGGATCAGGATCACTGAAACCTGATCATCATGTTTATATCCTCCAGTCCAGTCGTGTTTCTGTATAAAGAGTCAGTGTGACGAATCACAACTTTTTAAAGGTAATTTCTTTGTCTCATGACCTCTGATGGTGTCAGAGAGAGACGGTAGGTTCACTCTGCGTTTGTCAAAGGTCAGCAGGTGTGTTTGATCTCTGAAGCTGAACGCTGTGACCTGAATGTAACATGACAGGCTGATTCCTGCAGAAATATTTACTATTAATCCTTTTTAGTAATTTGTTTTTGAGAAGCAGTTCATCACAACACAGCTTCAGTGTGTCAGTGGTACTTTCAGGGACACGATGTAAGTTTGAAACTAACACCTCATTGTTATCTTTACCAGCACAACCAACTAGAGAGGAACTATCAGGGGAAACCGCTGATCTGAGTCACACTGATTAAGAATAGACTCCACATAAGAAGCCATTTTGCAGTGAATCTTTAACTCTCTCTGTCTGTGAGCAGCAGCAGGATAAACTCCCTCATGTTACAGTCTGCAGAAGATAAAAACTGATTTGAATCCCAAATGTGGAGGCAAAGTGTTTCAGCTGCTGTTGAACTCAGAGCTGATCAGGAGCATCAAACACTGAATGATCTGTTTTCTCATTAGATTTCTCTCTGAGTCATGTTCATATTTCTCAGGTGAGCGTGTAGAGCTCAGTGTTCATATTTCAGTGCAGCTTGTATGAATAGTCATTGTGGCGCAGTGGAAAAATAGTTGCATGTACTTCCTCTTCTGTCACGTGTTTCCTGGTTGCTACAGAGACGAGACCACAGAGCCAGACCAGAGGAAGTTTCTAAATGTTGTAAAAACAGGCTGCAGAGAGAGGAAGCTGCTCTCAGCCTGTTGAAGTTTGAAGTGTGACAATAAAACTGAGAAAGACTCTCTTAGTTTGTGAAGTCTTTATTACAGAAAGTTCCAGTATAAGTGTCTCCTGACGTCTGCTGAAGTGTTTAAATGGTTTTTTAAATATTGATCTTGTTGACCTTTTTCATGTTCCAACTGTTTGTGTCGTCACATTAAAACTCCTGGTTTTCTGAACAAAATATAAAATATATTTACCTTGAAAACTTTGTCAAAGGTAGCTTTATTTATTACAGATGATTATGTTTCTGATTCTCTAAAAGACTGAGGACTGTGTGACCTGAATGTGATGTTAACACATGACAGGCAGGTTTCTAACAACGAGACAGTTACACAGAAAACACATTTATTTTTATTCAACATGACGTCTGTCTGTTGGCAACATGTTGATCACAACTCAGCTCATCATCTACAGGCCTGTTAAAGTCAGAGGTGGGCAGAGCAGCCCAAACTGTTCTCAAGTAAAA